GACGAAGAAGAAGAAGAAAACCAACATTTCAATTTTGAAAAATTAAAATCTAAATAATATTATATATAATGGGTTCAAGTAAATCAAAACCAGTAGAAATTGATGACGAAGAGGCTATTAAAGTAATAAAAGATATAGATGTAAATACGATAAGTGAAATGTCAAGAATTGATATTCTACAAATAAATTCATTGAAAGCAATAATCAATAATCAATAAATTAGAAAAAGTTGATGAATGTAAAAAAGAGAAAATATATTATAAATTACCTGCTTTGAATTTATGTAGCTATTCTTTATTCTAAATTGATAATATTAACATACATTAATATTATTAATTACTATCATAATCTGTAATTTTATCCTCTGGTATTGTTGTTGAAGTAGTACTACTTCTATCATCTAATAAATCTTCTTCATCAACAAAATTACTTTGAAATCTTAATAATTCCTCGTCTGTTGGTCGTCTTTTTAACACTTTATAAAGTTTATGTATCCAAGAATTTGTATGACAATTATAATTACCCCTACGATAAAATCCACCACATCTACATAGTTTCATTGGCATATTATTATATTATATTAAGTTAGAATATCTTTATTCATCATTTGTAATTTGAAATGCCTGTTCAAAATTGATATGAAACATTTTGTTAATGTCTTTTGAATTCATATTCACGTAGAAAAAAGAATATGGAGCAAAATTAACGGCTTGATGATACATATCTAATAATTGCTGTTTGTCAACAATGGCACTATTTTCTTCAATAAAACTCATTAATTCACTGGCATTTTTCAACCTAAAAATATATAATGAACTGGCATTTAAACGAATGATAGGCGCCAAAACATTGTATTTTTGTGTTGAACAAATCACACTTACTGCATCGTGCCTGCCTCTTGTAAATAATCCATGTAATAATTTACTATATCTAACAAATTTAGGGTCGTCTGCGTGGTCATCTATCACGATTAATATTGAATGCAGTTTCTTTATCTTTTTAGATTTCATATAATTAATAATTTTCTTCTGTCTTTCAATTACATTTTCTAAATCACTTGGATTATAATTATCAAAATAAATTTGTTCTTTTTCATCATCTACATGTAGTTCATCCCTAATATATTTCTTTACTTCTGTAAATGTAGGGTCGTTATGGACGCTGGGTGAAAATATAAATATTCTTGCAAATGAATTTCTATAAACATTCAATATTAGATTTTGAATAAGGACAGTCTTACCGCCTGTCGAAGAAGCAACTATAATACTTCTAAATGGTAATTTTGGCACGTGCTCATATTTGGATTGCTTGAATTCATATTCAGTTATGTTTATTGGTTTTATTATTGGAACATCTGTCATATAGTTGATATTAAACATATTTAGAAAATAATTTAATATTATTTATTGTATGAAAGCATTGCTATGATATGAATGGTGACTATCGTAGTAGAACAGGCTCTTTCATCAACTTCAATCAATAAGCATTGAAGCTAATTAGTTTGATGCGTTGCAAAGAAAACCCCAAGTGCTGTGCCCCACCAATATTCTATTATGCATGAAAATAATAAGATTAAATAACTATTTTATCTTATTATTTATATGAATATAAGTTATTCAAATTATATTAATATAATAGATGAAGTAGAGAATATAGAACAAGTAATAATAACTCATAATAAAATTAAGAAATGTTGTTCTTATTCATTAGAAAGAATTAAGCTAGGAATACAATATATCAAAAATAAAAATATCAATATTAATATAAATGGGAAAAAAGAAAAACAAAAAGAATAAGACAGAACCAGCTGTATCTTCAACAGATGAAGATAAAGAAGATATTGTTAAAGAAACATCAGTTATTGAGTTTTCTTGTCCAATGTGTAAAAAGATGTTAGAGATGAAAAATGAATTAGAAATAAAAAATAATAAAAGTTGCAAATGCTCGTGTATTCCAACAAGTTTCAAAATAAGTAAACATGATAAGAAAATGAGTATTGATAAAACTAAAGACAGTATCAACTTAGAAACTGATGTCCATAATATAACTTTTAAATTTGGTAGGCAAGCAACACCATCCGATAATAATGAAAACGAAACACAGGAAACTGTTAAACAAATGATGAAAATATATAATTAAATAAATAAATATCTAAATAAATATATAGTAATGTCTGAAAATGAAAATTATACTATTAATGATTTAATGAAGAAGATAACATTAATTGATAGAAATATTAAAACCTTAAATTATATGATTAAATCCATTGATGAAAAACTTAAACCAGTTGAACGCGAACAGCAAAGCAACGAAGAGAAGGAGAAAATCGAAAAGATATTTGAAAGCCGTGGCTTGGGACGTCCGCAGGGCAGTTATGAAACAAAACAAAAGAAATACTGTGATATGTTGAATACAGGAAAAATCAAACAACCAACGCAACAAACATTAGAGTTTTATAAAATGACAAAAATGATGATGGAGTATATGTATTATTTGAATAATTAATATCTAAATAATTCTAATAAATGAATTTATTAGAATTATTTAGCGGAACAAAAAGCGTCGGAACCATAGCAAAGTCGCTTGGATTTAATGTAATATCATTAGACTTGAAAAATGCTGATATCAACACTGATATTTTGGAGTGGGATTACAAACAGTTTGACAGAAACCATTTTGATTTTATTTGGAGTAGTCCCCCATGCACTGAATACAGTGTAGCAAAAACTAGGGGAATTAGGAATATCGAATATGCAAATAGTATTGTCTTAAAAACTATTGAGATTATCAAATATTTCAATCCTAAATATTTTGTAATCGAAAATCCACAAACTGGATTATTAAAACATCAGGAGTTTATGGATGAGTTTGATTTTAAAGATGTAGATTACTGTAAATATGGAATGCCTTACAGAAAACGCACTAGGCTCTGGAATAACATTACAACTTGGAAACCTAGAGAATTATGTAAAAAGGATTGTGGCAACATCAGGAATAATAAACATATTGAAACCGCACAGAGACTGCCATCGGGCACCAAGGAAAATTGGGGAGACAATCCAACAATACATAAGCAGGAAGACCTATATAAAATACCTAGCGAATTAATTTGTGAAATCTTAGTGAGTTTGACGGATTAAGGATTTTGAGTTTGGGGTTGGGCTTAAAACTTGAAATTTCTAGGTTCATCCAACGACAACACAGTAAAAAATAAGAATTCAAAAAACATGAACATATAATTTTTAAGGGGATAATCCATAGTTTATCAAATTTAGAAAACACCAATATTCATATAGATACATCAGGAAACTCTCGCCACTTGCCAAACAGGGCAGGGAAAAATTGGCGAGAGTTTCCCCTTATATATTATATATATATATATACCCCGCCCCAGAAAAAAAGCCCTCCCGGCCAAGTCCTTACCTAGTAGGGCTCGGTCTCGTAGGCGAAGAAGACGATGAAGATACCTGCGCAGGAAAAAACAAAACAAACACATAAAAGACAAGGAGAGGGAGGGACCCACCAGCAAACCCAAAACCCAAGCCAGCCCGCCCTGCCCCCCAGTCAAAAGGGGGCGCACCCAAGCTTGTCGTGCTCGCTCATCAACCTGGCACGGCGTCGGGTGTCCCACAAAAAGCTTAAAACTGCTTGGTCAAAAATGCTGATGGTGCTAGGACAAAACGCCTTTTTCATCATCTGGGGCTGTGCGATCGTATTGCCGAAAGTGCCATTTTCACGGTTGAAATCACCGATTTTGGGGTGGACATCACCGATTTTGGGGTGGACATCACCGATTTTGGGGTGGACATCACCGATTTTGGGGTGGACATCACCGATTTTGGGGTGGACATCACCGATTTTGGGGTGGACATCACCGATTTTGGTGTGGAAATGGCGAGGGGTCTCTGTGCTTGGGAAAAAAGCTAAAAGCGGTTCAAACACGGTTGATGCCTGACTGTCTCAATCACTGCTTTGTGTCCCCATCCCTTAACCTCCGCCCCGCCTCTGGAATGTGGTAGAAGATGAAGACGTGGCAAGTGGGCGGCGCCGACGGTTGAAACCCCACACCATAAAACCCAATAAAATCCTACAAGGAGCACCACGCCTAAAAAAATATATGATAAAAGTGATGAAACGAAGGAGGGGAGTGATGTTGTTGCTGTTCTATTTTTTGTCCGAGAAATGGACAAATCGTTTTTAGACAGTTCGATTTTTTTTTGATGACATTTTTTTTTTGCAATATATTTTGCAAAAATTATGTTTTTGAAATGGATGAGGTGAGGAGATTGAGGAAATGACATTTTGAAGGGTAGTTGGTGAAATGAATGAGGCGAGGAGAAAGGAGAAAAGGATGGCGAAAATTTTGGAAAAATGATGATAAAAAAACGGAGGAGATGGACAGAAAGGAATGTAGAAAAATGATGAAAACAAATAAGGGTAGAAGGTGGAAGATGAAAAAAAATGTTGGGGGGGGGTGTATGTATGAAAGCAATTTATTGCTAGGCAAGGCCCCCGACTACTGAGTTCCCCCACTTTGGGGTTTAAAAGAAAAAGCCATGGAGCCCCGCCCATTTAGGGGTTTCCCTTTTGACAAAGCCGATGTTCAAGAGGGGATCAGAAGGGCTTTCGGACTGAGGAGCCTCTTCACTAAGCCATTCAAATCGCTTCTCCTCCCTGTGATGTGCAAGAAATAAAGGGAAAAGGCTGACGACCGCCTGAACCCATGGCCATTATGGACTTGGCTGGCTGCCCATGGGATTTTTCGGTGAACTCCAATGTCCTGACGATATTTCAGTGCGTGTCCCAATGTCGTTGCCTCCCAAGTCTACAGCAAAAAGGACAAATCGCGATACATGTTGGCCGCTTGCCAGGAATTGTGTGGCATGGACCGTCTTTTGGGCTATTCAACCACCAAGGGCAAAATTTGATCGTGCGGGGATGGCGCTACTTTCGTTGAGGGCACCTGTTTCCAGCTTGAGGGAAACCTTCTCCGACGTGAGGTTGCTGGCCACGGGGCGAAAGAGTGGCTTCGGGTGGGCCGGCGCCCCGAGCGCCAGTCCTAGTAACAATGTGGGTGTGGCTCAAAATTCAACAGGAGGGGCAAACCGCGGGTTTTGGTCCATGCTTCCACTTACCAGAGCAAGCCATTTTGGTACCCCTTTTTTTGTCTGAGCCACAGCCATGTAGCTAGACCATGGCTTGCCCCAATTGTGGCCCAACCATTTCCTGGTTGGAATCTACTGCGTGCGCACCGCACCTTTTTGACGGGTATGGCAACTAACTGAAAATCCACAGGGTTGTGCCAGCCGGGTGTTCAACCTAGAGCGCCCGAAGCCCGTTGGTTTAAGTAGGTCACAAGCGCGATTAAACGTGGGGTAGTGAGGGATCATCGTTATAACCCACTTACAAGGCCAGACTTTGAAAGCCAAAGACGTTTAGGGGACAACCATTCGGTCTGAGCCCCTTTGGTGACCTTCGCCTCGAAAGTTTTGCCAAGTCGGCAGATCTTCTAAGGCATTGGAGCCGGGGGAGTCTTCCTGGCATCAGGAATTCTAAGCTGAAGTGCGGGACACACACACACACAGACAACTCAGAGATTCCAAGTACCTCCTGAGGATGGCCTTTGGGGGAAAAAAAGGGGTATACATACCTCCTTGGAAGGTACTTGGACCCTCTGGGCAAGGACAGACTTACAATGAAACTTGCGTCGTTCTGGATTCTGCTGGGTGGCCTTTTGGACCAACGATGTGAAGCTGTTCCGTTCAATTCCCCTCTCAAGCTCTGGCTAAAAGGCCAGAGCTACCAGTTCGAAACCTTGCCAGATTGAGCTTGTCTTTTTAACGTTCCTTTTTGGTTTTCCATCATTTTCCCTTTCAACCAACACCTGGTGACCTTTTTGCCGAACCACAGGAAAGGGCTGTGGAATCTCAACTGACACGCCTTGGACTCACGAGAAGCGCTCAATTGCTAAGTTGCGTTGAAACAGCTGACACCAACATGTTCATTCTGCACACACCGCCAATTGCACTACTGTAGCTATTACATTGCAGGCTACAGGGTTGTTTGGTGATTCGGTATATACGTAAACATCGCAGTATTCATATAATTATTCGTGGCAGGAGCGACCACCACAACTCTGCAGAGCGCTATAAAGTTGGACGGCCAAGTGTCTGCGAATGCTCCCAGAGCTTGGTTTGTTGCGTCTTTGATTGAAATCCCTGAGCTGACAGACATGCCTGGAGTCCTTTGCGAGTGCCAAGTTGCACAACCCGCAAGAACCCTTGCCTAACACTGACTGCGTGAAGCTATGTCGACCTTTTTCCCCGTTTCCGCCTGATGTTCAGAGCTTCACTCTTCCAGTTTTTTTCATACAACCATGTCCCCATCCATCAACTTGAGACACATTTCGAGCCACAATTTTGTGCTCAGGTCCCAGCATCCTTCCCCCCTCCCCAGGCACACAACAGGGGGAGGAGAGTGACGACTCTAGTCACTTGGCGTGGGCTTCGCGGTTTCGGTTTTGAGGTCGCCTCAGTTGCCGCGACGTACATTTGGGTGTGTCGTGTTTTTGGGGGTGGACCCTTGGTTGGTCGGTTTTAAAGGGAAGCCAAAAAAGGAGAAACATGTTTTTTTGGTTTAGGGGGGTCCCTTAAAACAGACAAGCCCATTCCCGGACTCAGCCAAGACTTTTTGTTGGTTTCCGCCTTTGGGGTTTCCTTCATGTTGGCTGAGTCAGAAATTGAACTTGCAGGAACAGATTGCAGGGCTGCTCCTTTTCTCAAGATGATCAAAACTGAAAGGAGGAACATTGGTTTTCTCGGCGGTTCCCAGCCGTACCATTAGAATCCGTTAGACTTTTGAGCTTTTGTCCGAGTTTAGAGATGCCATCTCCCACAAGATTGACTTTTAGCCAGGGATCCGCGAAAAGCTTTCTTGGTTGAACACTTCACCGACCGGGGGTCTTTGCAGCCGATTGCGAGGTCAAGCCAAGCCAACTTTCGTTGTTTGGGGCTCCTCCAAAACGTGGCTTTTGTTTGTGTGAAGTTTTAGGATAGGCTACAAACGCAATGTGGCGATAGTGAATTTGTTTTTTGGAGTACCCTGGGCCAAGCTTCAGAAAGGATTGGAGTGCTCAGTCTGCTGAGCAGCCCGAAAATGCACTGACCGCTTACTCCATGTTGACTAGGTCCCGCAGTAGTGCCCTTTTACTCTTTTTTGGGGGAGGGTTCCCCTACTAAAATAGACTACAGAAAGAAGGGTGGTACCCTTATTCTAACCTCTATACTGGAGGACCTAGCAGAAAATGTATTGACAGCTTACTCCATGTTGATTATGTGAGTTGTAACTCGCAGCCACAGGAAAGGACAACAAGACATGCTCACAAACGCCGCCACACATAGCACCCACTCAAACAGCGCGTGGATGTTTGGATCCGTGGTTTCCTTTGCGTTGCAGACTTGCCCAAAGCCCAGGTTTTAACCATGCATGTTTGTATTGTCGGCTAAGTCATGCTTCCAGCGGGTCAATTGTTGATTTCTTGGTTCTGTGGGCAGTGTGCTTGGCTAGCTGGTTGGTTGGCTGGTTGGTTGGCTGGCTGGCTGGGTGGCTAGCTGGCTGGCTGGCTGGGTGGCTAGCTGGCTGGCTGGCTGGTTGGTTGGTTGGATGGGTGGTTGGGTGGTTGGCAGTGATTGGTAACTTTGGTGGCACGGGCAATTAAGACACTTTGAGTCCTTGAAAGGAAACGAGTTGGGAAACCGGGCGCCTAGTTATCTTGGCTTGAGGCAACAGTGACTTCAAAGACGAAGAGGCGTGCCCGACTGTCTCGCCGCATGCCTGGCGAGCTGGCTTTTAAAAGCCCGAACAGCACCGTGGGGAGGCTGGGGTTTGTTTTGAGTTGGTGGATATGGTAAGGTTCACTGAACATGGACTAGAATTATGAGTTTTCGCCCAGCCAACCGTAGAGGGAGGTGAACATGTTTGTTTTTGTGATGTGGGATTGAGGGTTGGAGCAAGAAAATAGCAATCTCAAACCTTAAGACTAGAATCAAGCAATGGCAAAAAGTGTGGTAAAAAGTTGACACCCTTTGAAGAGGGTCCACACTTTCCCAAAGGGCAGCGCCGGCATGTCTTGCCTCACCACGATTCGGGGATTCGGAAGGCCCTATCATCGGGATCCAATCCTTCTTGCAGGTTTTGGGCACAGCGTAAACCTCTAGAAACCGGTTTGCAAGGATGCGCTTTTTGTGGGATTTCCATCAGTTTTCCATCTGTGCCTTCTCCCTGTAGCTTTTTTTTATCCTACGCTTTTTGTGGATTTCCATCAGTTGCTTCCCCCGTAGTTTCTTTTTAGTGCTCTGCTAGTACTCTTTCTATCCCAGAGTCCTAGACAAATTGAAACCAACAAAGAACGCCACCAATCCAAACCTCCAGGGGTACCTTCCCCATTCCTTCCAGGCATCCTTCTTTCCAAAACACCACCCGGAACCCCGGCAGAAACAGCGATCGGTTCTTGAAAAGAACGAGGGTTGAAAAGAATCGGAAAAGGAATCAACCCCTAGAGAACCGCTTTCTCGAGACCACCGCCCGGGCCTTCCCGCGCCTTGCTGTCTCCCACAGGAGCGCGCCTGCGATGATGAGGACTTGAGGATCCACGCCGGAGGCTTAAACAAGTTCTTCCGTCGAATGCGGAGGCTTCCGAGAAGCGTAGAGTGTTGTGAAATCGACTGACCCACAAGACGGACCCACAAGACGGGCGTTTTTTCTTCTTCCCATTTTTTTCATGTTTTTTTGTTTTTTTTTTTTTCCCGGTGTTGGTTTTCCCTTTTGTTGGTCTGTTGGTGTATTTGATTGATTTGATTTGATTTCATTTGAATTCCTTTCATGCCCCAAATAGTTGCTTTTTTCACTAAGGGGTTCTTACGGTGAGAGTTGAGACTGGGTTAGATCGAGGGTTCGCGCTCAAAGTGCTCCTTTTTGATTTCCCTTTCAAACAACCTTCAAAGGCGGCCGACCACATCGGGCTGTGGCGATTTGTGTGGCGGGAGTTCCGATTCACTCGTGACGAAAGCAACGGAGAGTGTCACTTTTGTAAGAGGGCCTGACCCCTTTGTAAGCCTTTTACGTCAAGTCGTACCAGGACGTAGAGACTGAAGTGTTACAGGCTGCCTTTTGGGGGGTACTGGCTTGCGCCCTATCCAAGCTGCCTAAGGAGACCCCTTTTTAACCCAACAAAAGCCACCCTCAAAGAGTAAGTGGGATGGGTATCAGGTGACTCAACATCTCAAGCTATAGGACTCCCTCCCACCCCATGGGTGCCATGGTCAGAACAGCCTGGATGCTCATCAAACAAAAAAGGGAGTTCTGAGTATCCAGGATCCCTTCTAGGTCCTCCAGTAGCGCACGTTTACCCTTTTTTGGGGGAGGGTTCCCCTACTAAAATAGACTCCAGAAAAAAGAAAAACAAGAATCGGGTACCCTTTGTCTAACTCCTCTCAAATTTGGAGGACCTAGCCTTGTAAAGCACCCGCCCTGGAAAAAAAAAGATCGTATCCGAGGCCGGGGGAAAAATCGCCTGCCCTTGGAGCGACCTGTTGGCCTGTCGACAGCGAGGCACCGGTGGAAGTGGAACGGCAGATGGAGAAGCAGAACCATCCGCAAGGCCTCACCATCATCAAGGCCCGAGCACCGGGTTGTTGACCAAGCTTGTTTCAGAACTTCACCTCAGGTTCTTGCAGAGGGTAAATGGAAACCCCTCCGTTTCACCACCAAACCACAATCCAAGCCACAGGTTCCCCGTAAATTGGTGGTTTGGATTGGTGGTTTGGGGACTTGAACCCCTAACCCCTCCGTTTCACCGCCAAATCATAATCCAAACCACCAATTAGAGGGAAGCTGACCAACTCTTGTCGAGTTATTTTCGTTGAAACACCTTTTCTGACCCACCTCCCAAAAGGAAGTTGCTAAGCCCATTCCTTTCCATTTAACACAACCCGAGAAAGTGTGCCTGCAACACAAGACATACCCAAATGCCCATTTCTCGGCAGGTGCTGGGCCATTTCAGCGAGTACATCCACTTCTCGCAGATGGCCCTCATGTGCATCCAGGCCCGACTCGAATTCGTCAATGGCTGGTCTGCTCCGGAAATTGCGTGGGGCTTGAAAACTAATGCGACTGCTCTCTCTCTCTCTACCCTTCCATTTGCTTAAGAATATCTTATACTTTCCCCTGTTGGTTTTCAAGGGAATCGATCACTACTGGAACTATTTATATGTTTTTTCCCGGGGGCTTTAGCAAATGGAAGTACTGCTTCGGGGAACATCCACATGGCTGATCGCAGGAGCTTTTGTAAATCTGTCTTTTCCTGAAGGTTAGTTTTGTTTTGCGAAGTTAGGGCCCACTTAGGCGAGTCTGGCGTATTCTCGCAGGGCGGACGGCAAAACAGGCAAGCTGGTGTCCCGAACAATGATACCCCAACAAACACGCGCCTTTGCAAAAGACATCTGCGCACTTTCATGCTAGTGGGAAGGATATGATGCATCTTCTCATTGAGTAAGGAGGCAGTCGTGTGTCCGCGAAGGCTTCCACGCTCTGTGCATTGCCCCTGTGTGGCAGAGGGAACAGGTTTTTCCTTTGTTCCAAGGTAGCCTTTCCACCTTGGTTTAACGGGACGATGAGAGGACAAACTGATTTCCGGGTCCCCCGTGTTGTTTGTTGGTGGCTTTGCTGCTCCTTTGGGCAGCCCAAAGCGCGCCCTTGGCTGATGCTGATGTGTCGCGGTTCCCCAACAACCAAAGCGGGGGCCATAATCATAGGGCCCAAACACCTGCAACTAGGGATGCCCCTCCAAAACCATCCTCAAAGAGTACCTCAAAGAGTACTTCAACATGTCTGTGTCAATCTCCCTAAAGACCCATGATAATGACCCCTTTGGCATTCGACAACATGCTGCTACGAGTGAAACCCCTAGGAATACCTCGATAAAACGACTGGTGCATGTTGCGGATTTGTTTCCGCTGCATCACAGAACCTTCCATTTGGTTAAGAATATGTTGTATTTTCTCTTGTTGGTTTTAAAGGGAATCTATCAGTACTCGAAATACCGTGGGTGGACGACATCCTGCACCACTGAAACCATGGGAAACCAGTATTTGTTGGTATTTACAGGGGAATTATTCCAGGGTTTCTTAGTGGTGGCGCGAAATGGATTTCGTCCATCCACAGTTGTTCTTTGGTTTTAAAGGGAATCTGTCAAAAAGAAAAGGAACCTTTTTTCCTGGGGACTTAACCAAATGGAAGGAACCACTCCGCTTGGCCTCTAGGTGCTCGGCGAGATGCTGCGGGCGGACGGGAACCCAAAGGGGTGGTTTGTTTTGGATTCGAGCGCGGCTGTCTTTTCTTGGTGGCTCCCAGCCATCCGGTTCCTTAGCTGCCTAGCTTTTTAGCTTTTTAGTTGGTTTAGTGGTTGGGTTTCCATTTAGCCCACTAAAAGTTAGTCACTTTAGCGGGGGATCTGAGGACAGCTCAGTTTTCTGTTCAGCCTGCAAAGGTAACTAGGTGCCCCAGCTAGGTGCCCTTTCTCACCTCTTTTTTGGGGAAAAGGGTACAGAAAAAAGTTGGTAGGTTTGTTCTAACCTCTCTACTGGAGGACCTAGGTAAGCAAGGGAACTACCCTTTTCTCCACCAGCAGGAACATTGTTGGTTACATACTATAGGGGCAACTGGGACGGTTGGGTCAAGGCGTAAGGGACAACATCGGGACATCTGGACAGTAAGTGACGACACCCCGCGCATGTGTGCTGGCACAACAAAAAGGCAGCCATGGATGCAAAGGACGTGGTATGTTGCTTCCCACTAAGGAAGTCCTGGGGATCTACGAGAGGTCCAGCAGTTCCTTGACTCTTCGATGTTTTGACAACATGATTGCGTCATGTTTGGGTAGGAGATAACTGGGACTTGAGGGTGAATGAATGAACCTTTCCTGGGGAGATGCTCAATTCAGGCGTTGCAGGCTAGAAACGTTTCGCAGATCAAATGACAATGCCCTTGCTCTTTTGATAAATTTGTGGATTCCCTGCTCAAAGATAACGAACCTCGAGTAGTTTGGCTATGTTGAAATTTGCGCAAAGTTGAACTTCAATTTCATGAAATGCTCCAGTGTCTGAATGTGATTGAGAGTCAGGGTCAGACTTACAATCAGAGTCTCAGAGTGAGCGACAGAGTGAGAGAGTCGGTGAGTCAGTGAGTCAGTGTGCAAGCGAGCGAGGGCGGGTGTGCGCGAGTGCATGCTGTTTTCATGCCTCTGTGTGTGTGTAAGAGAGGAGTGAGATGTTTATTTTGTTGGATCGTGTTTTGCAGATACGTTGCCCGGCTGTTTCTGAAACAGAATGAGAAGTGGGGAACAGTCGCGCAGATAGTCGTTGTGCCGTGGAAAGCCATACACAAGAGTGGGTGCTCCGCCTTGCCATCCTGCACGGAGAGTTGCAATTCGAGCCTGCGTTTCAGCATTTCGCAGGCACATTTCCCAAGGAGACATGAGTGTGTGCTCTTTGCCTGCTCATGATTGGGAGCAGATTGAGACTTGGGAGTCAAACTTAGTTTGGGCCCCTGCTTCTAACCCTGATCTAGGTTGTGAGGACGCAGAACCCGGGTTCATGCTTGTGGTGAGCCCCTGTATTGCAGGCGTCAAAGTAAGGAGCTGGCACGCAAAACCTGATATTTAGGATGAATGTTGGGTTGGGGCTTGCTGGAAGCTTACATAGTGCATCATAGTGCTGATGCCAGGGGGACCGAGGCCATACCTTCGGGCGGGGGAGGTGCCAACCCGAACCCCTCTTCATGTTCCCCTTTTTCCTTTTTGAACG